AACGCCTCATCTACAGAAGAAGTGAGTATAATGTTTTGTAAAGAATCTTTGCAAATCGCCTTTCCTAATAATGTGCTAATTAGCAAGTTTCACGATGAATGCGGCTAAAGTAGACAGTCTCTCTGAGAGCAGCTCGGAAGAGAGGGGCGGAGTCAGCAGAGCTCATTAACATTTAAAGGAAAATGCTACAAAAATGGCTTGATCTGAAAAGAGCTGTTTTTGACAGGGTAAAAAAGGTGTTTTTTACACTACCATTGAGAAATTTTAACCAAACTATGTTACAGACTTTTCATTAAGACCCTAAAGAATCATATCAACTTGTGGAAAATGGGCATCCTATGACCCCTTTAATAACTACTATGCTACTTTCCTTTAAATTTGAATTTTCCGCTGTAAAACATTCTGTAGATGATCTGAATATGCCTGCAAAGGAGATATACGGTGCTCAGCCACCCATTGAACTGCTGCGCCAGTGGATCGATCATCATCATTGGTATGATAAAAAAGACACGTCCAGACTGGACATTGAGGATGTTCTGTATATGTCTGCTATGGGGCCCCCTGGTGGAGGGAGAAACGACATTACAGGTAAATCTCTGATCCTAAATGCTCATCATATAATCATAGTCTTGCGCAGTTTCTTCTTTGTGACTGTTTTGCATCTTTCCTCCCTCACAGGACGATTTACACGTCACCTAAATATTATATCGATTGATACATTCGATGACGAGACTCTAAGCAACATCTTCACATCCATCACTGACTGGCACTTCAGCAATGGTTTTGATGCCTCTTTCTACAGGTGTGTTCATGAAGAAAGTTTAAATCTGATATAAAAATATCTCAATGCGATCGCATTAGATATCAAGATATAAAACCAATATTTTGGTGACATATATTTAGAATAAAAACAGAACAAGCACACTCTACGAGTAAAACATTTTAAGTGTCCAAATAGTTTTTTGTGGCCACTGTGTGGTAACTGTTTTTTTTACACAAGCTGAAAATCATGATTAAATATTTCTGTGTATGTGTATTTGTTGTAGGTTGGGTAAAATCATGATTCAAGCTACTATGGCAGTATACAAGGATGCAATCGAGAGTTTCCTCCCAACACCATCTAAATCTCATTATATTTTCAATCTGCGAGATTTTGCGAGGGTGATTAGGGGCGTAATGCTCTGTCCATCAACAAACATGCAGGTAAGCATACACACAGGTATATTTCTATGTAAAGGCAAAGTACATATAGTAAATAGTTTTTCATAATATGAGTTTTGTGCTTCTTTTTATCAGGAAGGTGATAAACTAATCCGCTTATGGATCCATGAGGTGTATCGCGTGTTTTACGATCGACTGATTGATAATGACGACAGAGAGAAATTTTTTAACATTGTGAAAGAAAGGACAGCAGAATATTTCAAACAAAGCATCGAAAAGGTAATAGCTACATTGTGAAATATTTCACCCCCAAAATCAAAAATGATCAAAATGATTCAGATAAATAAAAATACTGATAAATAATTTATTAAAAAAATTAAAAAGTAATGAATATATTTTTGAAAAACTTTAACATTGTCAAAAAAAGGCCATCTGCATATTTCAATATTTAAAAAAAAAAGGTAATACTACATTGTGAAATATTTTTTAAAAATTAATCAAATGAAAAAAAAAAATTATTGATACATTTTTTATAAAACTTTTTTTTTTTTTAAGAAAATTAAGTTATTTCTTTCTTTTAATTTTGAGGTGAAATATGACCTGGGCATTTTTCATTCTTTTTCAAGGGAAACTTTAAATAAAATGGATCTGGTTATCTAGTATCTCTTGTAGTAAAATTGGCTTTAGTTTAATTATTATTTGAATAAGATGTCTCTTTTCCCCTATCCAGCTCCTCAGTTATCTCACTCTGTCTGGTAAAGTTGAAGATGACAGCATTCGCAGCCTGTTTTTTGGTGACTACGCCAAACCAGACTCGGCCAGTAAAACGTACGACGAGATCACAGATCTGAGTACATTAACGGAGGTGATGGATTTCTACCTCAAGGAGTTTAATAACATCAGCAAAGCGCCCATGAACCTCGTCATGTTTCAGTTCGCCATCGAACACATCTCACGAATCTGCCGTGTGCTGAAACAAGACAACGGCCACCTGATGCTGGTCGGCATCGGCGGATCGGGGCGACAGAGCACCACCAAACTCGCCACCTTCATCAATGACTACGAGCTGTTCCAGATCGAACTGACCAAGAACTACAGCATGTCGGACTGGCGTGACAATCTGAAGCACCTGATGCTGAAAGCTGGGATAGAGGGGAAGAAAACTACGTTTCTCTTTAGTGACAACCAGATCAAGGACGAAGCCTTCGTTGAGGACATCAACATGCTGCTGAACACAGGAGACGTGCCAAACATCTTCCCAGCAGACGAGCGTGCTGACATCATCGAAAAAATGCAGGGAATAGCCCAGATGGAAGGGAAGAAGATGGACGTCACACAGCTCTCCATGTACAACTTCTTTATCGACAGAGTTAAAGCCAACCTTCATATAGTTCTTGGTACTGATTATATTATATTATATTATATTATATTTAGGGCTGTCAGTTTAACGCGTTAACTTAATTAATTAGTTATGAAAAAATAACGTGATTAAAATATTTTATTATATTAATATAATATATTAATATTATTATTAGTTTAACTGGCCACGCCCCCAAACCTGTACTTCATCTTACATTTCATACAGTTGACTGTTGACAAATATGATGCAGGGCAACAACTCCATAAATGCAGTTATGCCCTACAATTCAAGATACTGGGACAAAAAATGTCCCAAAAAAAAGTTTTTGTCTCATATTTATATCATACGATATCATACGCACGAGCAGGGAGAGCAATATCACACGAGTACTGATTTTGTCCCAAATATCACAAGTTTAAATGTGATTTTATACTACAGTTCATATTGTGTTCATTCAGTTGATATTGTGTTCTATTTTAAACACAACATTGTGTTTTTGCTCAATTTTGCAGAGAACATATTACCTTTAAAGTCACAGCAGAATTGTCTTGCACGTCTTCGAGAAACACAGAGGTGTTTAGTTTCTGAAAAACATCCGCGATTTGAACAAAATCGTGTGAATCAGTGATTCAAAGCCCCATTCATTAAGAGAGCCGTTTACTGAATTCCTGAATGAATCAGCCGTTTGAACGAATCGAATGAAGACATTTACCGCCACCTGCTGGCAGATGTAGTTTCTTATTTAGAGTATCATAATAATAATAATGAAAACATTGTTTAGGGATAGTTCTCCCAAAAAATGAAATTTTTTCATCATTTACTCGTTGTTTCAAACCTTTCTTTTGTGGAACATAAAAGAAGATATTTTGAACACTGTTGGTAACTAATCTGTTTTGGTTACCAATGACTTTCATTGTATGAACAAAAAATACTGAGATGTTTCTCAAATTATCTTATTTTATGTTCCATAGTTTATGTTAAGATGTTGTAGCCTAAATGTTTATGTGTAATACATTTTTTTGTTGTTGAATCAGATAAAATATTTCTTCCTAAGTTACAATTTGTAATGTCTGCTTGATACTTTCTCATTTACATTTACATTTAGTAGATGCTTTTATCCAAAGCGACTTACAAGTGAGGACAATAGAAGCAATCAAAACCAACAAAAGAGCAATAATGCATTTAACACAAAAATAGCTTTAAATAATCTTTTGTTGGGTAATTTCAGTCAAATTTATTTTGTGATTAATTAGATTAATTAATCGACACATCATGTAATTAATTAGATTAAAATTTTTAATCAACTAACAGCCCTAATTATATTATATTATATTTATTTAACTACTATTTATGTTTATATTCATTTAACAAGGAGAAAAACCTCTCTGAGATTAAAAATATTACAGGAGTGTACTGTCCAACATAAGCAGAAACTTAACATATACACAAAACAAAAACAGCATACATATTTATATAATATAAACAGATGTAAATATATTATAAATATATACAAATAATATATAAACATATATATAAAATATTTTGGTGTATACTTCTGTAAGCTTGTGTAAAACTGTTTTCATGTTTGTCCAATAGCAATGAGCCCAATAGGTGAAGGCTTCCGCAATCGTCTGAGGATGTTCCCATCATTGATTAACTGCTGCACCATAGACTGGTTTCAGGCCTGGCCCAAAGACGCTCTGGAGATGGTCGCCAACAAGTTCCTTGAGGATTTGGACATTGAAGACAACATCAGGATGGAGTGCGGACATGAGCCTGCATTTATTTCCTTTAACAGTTGATTGTGTTCAGATATAAAGACTTACATTGTCAGTTTTGCTTTATTCTCAGGGTGGTGGAAATGTGTAAGATGTTCCAGGAGAGTGTCAGAGAGTTGTCTGAGCGCTACTACTCCCAGCTGCGCAGACATAATTACGTGACTCCTACTTCCTACCTGGAGCTCATCCTGACCTTTAAAGTCTTGCTTAACTCCAAACGCAGTGAGGTGAATGAGCTCAGGAATCGATACATAATCGGCTTGCAGAAACTTGACTTTGCTGCCTCTCAGGTGAGACGGAAAATGTGAACGCTTCATCAGTCATTTCATAATACTCTCTTTATTCTTCTTTATGTTCATCTGCAATCAGTGTTGTAATACATGTCCTGAAATACATACAATACATATAATTAATTCTGTTCTGTTAATGTACAATCTTGATATCTATCTTTTAAGTTTAGTGAGAAAAAATTTGATTAAAAATCAAGTATTTACACTCTCTCTCTCTATCTATAAACAGCGGGTAAAATAAGTATTGAACACGTCACCATTTTTCTCAGTAAATATATTTCTAAAGGTGCTGTTGACATGAAAATTTCACCAGATCTCGGTAACAATCCAAGTAATCCATACATACAAAGAAAACAAAACAAATAAGTTCAGAAATTAAGTTCTGTGTAATAAAATGGAATGACCCAGGGAAAAAATATTGAACACGCATACTGAAATTTATTTATTACTTTGTACAAAAGCCTTTGTTGGTAATGAGAGCTTCAAGACGCCTCCTGTATGGAGAAACTAGTCGCATGCATTGCTCAGGTGTCTTCAAATCTTGAAGGTTCTGTGGGCCTCTTCTATGAACTCTTATCTGTAGTTCTTTCCATAGATTTTCTATTGGATTCAAGTCAGGTGATTAACTGGGCCATTCTAGCAGCTTTATTTTATTTTTCTGAGACCAATTGAGAGTTTCCTTGGCTGTGTGTTTGGGATCATTGTCTTGCTGAAATGTCCACGGTCCACCCTTGATTCATCTTCATCATCCTGGTAGATGGCAGCAGATTTTTATCAAGAATATCTCGGTACATTTTTCCATTCATCCTTCCTTCAATTATATGAATTTTGCCAGTGCCATGTTGCCATGTTTTTGGGGCGTGTACCTGCTAATTCCAGGTCTTTCTGAAGCTCTCCACAAGTGGTCATTGGCTCCAAAACTCTTCTGATAATTTTTTTTCACTGCTCTGTCAGAAATCTTGCGAGGAGCACCTGGACGTGACCAGTTTATGGTGAAATTATGTTCTTTCCACTTCAGGATTATGGGCCCAACAGTGCTCACTGGAACTTTCAGAAGTATAGAAATCTTTCTGTAACCAATGCCATCATTTTGCAACAATAAAGGCCTTTTTGCACCTCCCTTTCTTCATGTGTTCAATACTTTTTTCCTGTGTCATTCCACTTTATTACACAGAACTTAATTTCTGAAATTATTTGTTTTGTTTTCTTTATATGTATGGATTGCTTAGGTTGTTACGACATCTGGTGAAAATTTTGTCAACAGCACCTTTAGAAATATATTTACTGAGAAAAATGGTGACGTGTTCAATACTTATTTTACCCGCTGAATTTTAATTATTAATTTATAATTGTATAACACAATATAATTTTTTATCATTTTGCCATAATTGTTTGTTATTTACATTTAAATTGTAAATATTTGATTTTTCTCTCAAATCTTTTAAATAAAAAAATATACATTTTCAAACTGTTTATTAAAGGGGTCATATGATGCGATTTCAATTTTTCCTTTCTCTTTGGAGTGTTACAAGCTCTTGGGGGTTTTAATGTTTTTGTCTCATCTCTCCGGCCGAGACACGGCATCACAATATGGTAAGGGGCGTAACATTTCCGTCACACGCTTGAGGTATTCGGCCAATCACAACGCACTGGATAGCTGGCCAATCAGAGCACACCTCGCTTTTCAGACCGATGAGCTTTGTAAAAATTGACGCGTTTCAGAAAGGTGGGGCATAGAGGAGAAACAATAGTGTACAGTATGTGGAAAATAATGTGTTTTTTTAACCTTAAACTGCATAAACACATTTCATTACACTAAATACACAAAATAATGTTCTTTTTAGCAACATCATACGACCCCTTTAAAATTTGTATTCAAATTTGAAAAATGTGAAATAGAACCATTTTCATTGGTGGTCTCAGATAAATATGTAGATTTCAGGCAAATTTCAGCAAATGATCAATTATATATTATCATGATAAATTATTTATGATTTTTTTTTATCAACAAGAGGCCTAAATACATTATTTGATAATGTACATAGTCATTATCCCTGAATAAATTGATGTTGACAGTGCTGTTTGTCTGTGACGTGCAGGTAGCGGTCATGCAGCAGGAGCTCACAGCTCTTCAGCCAGAACTGATCGAGACAGCCAAACAGACCGATCAGATGATGGTGAAGATAGAGAAAGAGACGGTGGAGGTGGATGCTAAGAAAGAGCTTGTCAGTGCTGATGAGAAAGTCGCCAATGAAGCAGCAGCTGCTGCTAAAGCGATCAAGGTAACCAGATGGGAAAAATGTATTTCAGTCTAAGGCTCACAAAAATGATCCATGCAGGCAAACCCTTTTAATTACACAACATCAATTCTTAACAGGACAAAACCATATCTGTTATATAATATAATGACATTTAGTAAAGGATTGCATTCAAAGTGTTGGCCAAGTATTAACATTTATTTGTACATACTTGTTTAAAGTATGTTTCTGGCCTAAAATTTTAGCTATGCAAGTGAAAAAAATACAGATGTTCTCATGTTGCTGATTTTTCCTTCAATTCTCAATCTACTTGATAAGTTAGAAAATACATAAATAGATAATCATATATTGGCATGTAGGAATTTACAAGTCTTTAATGATGTTGGTGGACTAGTTGCACTCTTTCAGTTGAGGAGATTCAGAAAGTGGTTAGCATTTGGAGATTTTGGGGTATTAGGACATTTTGTTAAAGTTATGATCGAAAAGTTTATATCAATTAATTTATTGTCGGATAGGATGAGTGTGAGGGAGATCTTGCAGAAGCGATGCCAGCACTGGAAGCGGCTCTCTCTGCTCTAGACACACTGAAGCCGGCTGATATTACTGTCTTGAAGACGATGCAGAATCCTCCTGGTCCTGTCAAACTGGTCATGGAGTCCATCTGTGTCATGAAGGGCATTAAACCAGAGAGGAAACAAGACCCCGGTGGATCAGGTATGAGAATGTGGCACACATGAGAAACACAGGTGAAATATATCACACACTCTATTATTAAAGACGATTAAATACATTTGGTTGAAATTATTTGCACAGGAAAGATGGTTGAGGATTTCTGGGGACAATCTAAGAAGCTTCTTGGTGACATGAAGTTCCTTGAGAGCCTTAAGACGTTCGATAAAGACAACATACCTGCACCTAACATTAAGAAAATCAGAGAAAAGTTCATAGACCACCCAGATTTTCAGCCTTCAGTAATCAAAAGCGTGTCTTCTGCTTGTGAGGGCCTTTGCAAATGGGTGCGTGCCATGGAAGTATACGAACGAGTGGCGAAAGTCGTTGCCCCCAAGCAAGTGAGATTAAAGGAAGCAGAGGAGGAGTTAGCTGTGCAGATGCAGAAGTTATCTGTGAAACGTGCCGAGCTGAAGGAGGTGGAGGATCGTCTGCAGGCGCTGAATGACACATTCGACGGGATGATACAGAAGAAAAAAGACCTAGAAGCAAACATAGAGCTCTGTTCCCAAAAGCTAATACGAGCTGAAAAACTAATCGGTGGTCTGGGAGGAGAAAAAGACAGGTGGACGGAGGCTGCTCGGCTCCTTGGCATTAAATACACCAACCTTACCGGCGATGTGCTTTTGTCCTCTGCTATGGTGTCTTATCTTGGCGCGTTCACTGTCGATTACCGCGTGGAGTGTCAGCGAGAGTGGCACAAGCTGTGCAATGAGAAAAACATACCATGTTCGAAGGATTTCACACTTAGCAACACTCTCGGAAACCAGGTACTGATCCGATCGTGGCAGATTGCTGGATTACCAGTGGACGCGTTTTCAACCGACAATGGAATTATTGTCTCAAACTCTCGCCGTTGGCCACTCATGATCGATCCACAGGGACAAGCCAACAAATGGGTCAAAAACATGAACAAGGCCAATAAACTGTCCATCATCAAGCTCTCAGACAGCAACTATGTCCGTACCCTCGAGAACGCCATCCAGTTCGGCACGCCAGTCCTCCTGGAGAATGTTGGGGAGGAGCTGGATGCAATTTTAGAGCCGGTTCTCCTAAAACAGACCTTTAAGCAGCAGGGCGTGGAGTATATGAAACTTGGTGAAAACACTGTGGAGTATTCAAGCGATTTCCGGTTCTACATCACAACAGGATTGAGGAATCCACATTACTTGCCGGAGGTGGCGGTGAAAGTGTGTCTTTTGAACTTCATGATCACGCCGTTGGGTCTGGAAGATCAGCTTCTGGGGATCGTCGCCGCTAAAGAGAAGCCAGAACTCGAGGAGAAGAAAAACCAGCTAATTCTCGAAAGCGCAGCCAACAATAAGCAGCTAAAGGAGATCGAGAACAAAATCCTGGAGGTCCTTTCTTCTTCTGAAGGGAACATCCTAGAAGACGAAACTGCTATTAAGGTTCTCTCGTCATCTAAAATATTGTCAGAGGAGATTTCCGAGAAGCAGAAAATTGCGAGCATGACTGAAAACGAGATTGACGAAACTCGAATGGGTTACCGGCCAGTTGCAGAACACTCATCCATTCTGTTCTTTTGCATCTCGGATCTGGCGAACATCGATCCCATGTACCAATACTCTCTCACGTGGTTCATCAATCTGTACCTGCAGTCCATCGCTCACAGCGCGCCTAGCGATGACCTACAGATCCGCATCGCTAACATCTTGGATCACTTCACCATGCGTGTTTACTATAATGTGTGCCGCTCTCTGTTTGAGAAGGACAAGCTGCTGTTCTCTTTGCTTTTGACCGTCGGCATTATGCAGGGCAAAGGTCAGGTCGACGACCTCGTCTGGCGCTTTCTTCTCACCGGAGGCATTGCTCTGGAAAACCCTTACCCCAACCCGGCCCCGGAGTGGCTTACGGATAAATCGTGGTCCGAAGTGGTTCGGGCTTCTCAACTTCCTTGCCTGGAAGGATTGTTTGAACACGTGCAGGAGAATATCGCACAGTGGAAGCAGATTTACGACTCGGGTCATCCGCAGGACGAGGAGTTACCCGGGAAATGGCGCACAGTAGTGGGCATGGAGCGCATGGTGGTGCTGCGCTGCTTCAGACCGGATAAACTTGTGCTGGCGGTACAACAGTTCATCGTCGACAGAATGAGCCGGACATACATTGAGCCACCGACCTTTGACCTGGCGGAGAGCTACAGTGACTCTTACTGCTGTTCACCACTTATCTTCGTCCTTTCTCCAGGATCAGACCCTACAGCAGGTAAATTAGAAAGATGTTTTTTTTTCAATGATTTGTCATTTTGTTTTGAAAATAGGGCTAAGCCAATAACTTATTATATATCATTAATTAATATACTATTATAGTTTTTATTAATATTTAGAATTTGTATGTTTTCCATTTTCATTTTAATAAACCTATATAGTCTTTATTCATTTTTATTGCAGTTTTAGATTTTGTTTTTTTTAGTACTTAAAGTTAAACTAAACAAACATGAGAGATGTAGCCATGGGAACTAGCTGAAATAAAATAAGTTTAAGTTTTTTATATCTTATTTTATTTCAAGTAATGAAAATGTTTGTTAATAGTTTTAGTTGATATCATGGGATTACGATTGTTACTCTTCAGAATAAATGCAGATATAATATTAATATTTTTAATATTTCAATATTAAGTGAAACTGCAAAAGAGAAACTAAAATGGTAGAAAATGGCAAATACAATGTACATTCTAACAAAGTCCCTTTAAGGCAAGTCATGTCACTCTGCGGCCATCTTTGAAACTCCTCTCGGGCATGCAAGTGCACCTTCTATCTCTTTGAATGGGGAAACATTAAATTCTCCAAAACTGTTCGCCAAGCTTACGATTACATTTCATATTGAAATCACCAATGAAATATGACAACTGTATCATAAATGTTGTTTATTTTGGTAAAATAGCATTAAAAAAAGCTTATTTCTCAGGCTAGACCAGCCAGTACACTGATAGAGTGGCCATATTGAGCGTTACATTTTTTCCCCATTCAAATTATACGAGTGACATATTTGGGGTATTCTACAGTCTTTGGTTCTAACCATGTGTTTTGTGGTGTCAATTATTGGCTGTAGAAATATTTAAATAATTTTATGATTATTCTAGTTGTTTATTATCTATTTTTAATATTAATATCAAGTCAAGTCAAGTCTGCTTTATTGTCAATTCTTCCACATGTACAGCACATACACAGAGAATTGAAATTGCGTTACTCTCAGACCCTTGGTGCATACAGATAACACTAACAGTAGAACATAAATACAGATATACAGATTAAATATAAAATACAACTATACAAATAAGGTAAAATGTAAAAAAAAAAATATATATATATAAAAAAATATATATATAAAGCAGCACACGGCAGCTAGAGTGCAAACCAGTGAAGTAAACAGAATGCTCTCGATGGTGCCTCTGTAGAAGGTGTACATGATAATATACTTCTGTAGTTGATTTTAAGCACACTTTTGTTTACTTCTGTAATATGATACTCAAATGTTGGGTTGCTGCTTGAAGACCAATGTAAACTCTGGGCGTTCTATGTAATATTATGAGACATAGAATCACAATATATGATTGTTTCAGCGCAGCACTAAACATTTACAACTAAATTATGTTCTTACACTCTTTGTCTTACTCAGGACTTCTAAAGTTTGCAGATGACTTGGGCATGGGCGGCAGTAAGACGCAGGTGATCTCTCTGGGTCAGGGTCAAGGTCCAGTAGCTGAGCAGCTGATCAGAGCAGCACTGACCGACGGCACCTGGGTCGTGCTGCAGAACTGTCACCTCGCGACCAGCTGGATGCCAATGCTGGAGAAGATTTGTGAGGAGGTCATAACACCTGAAAGCACACACACAAGCTTCAGGTAAAAATAACAACACGCGTGCATCTAACACACTTACTGTGCCGTTTCACATAAATTATTATGGCCACACTTAATTTCAGCACAGAGTTAAAATTAGTGGATACATGACAAAGATAAAGAACATATCCAGGACATGTTTAATCTCAAAATCTAACAAAAAACTAAATCTCTCAAATTCTCATTGGTGTAAAAAGGTTATTTTTTAATTATTATAATATTAATATTATAATATTATTAAAATAATCATAAAAGGCAGTAAAATTAATACTACCGTTATGTATACTTAAAATTGTACTTCTTAAAAGGGGTCATCGGATGCCCATTTTCCACAAGTTGATATGATTCTTTAGGGTCTTAATGAAAAGTCTATAACATAGTTTGGTTAAAATTTCTCAATGGTAGTGTAAAACAACACCCTTTTTACCTTGTCAAAATCAGCTCTGTTTTCAGCAAGCCGTTTTAGTCCATGTTCCTTTAAATGCTAATGAGCTCTGCTCACCCCGTCCCTCTCTTCCGTGGGGTGACGAGCCATTTTCACGAGACTGTTTACTTTAGCCGCGGAACTTGCTAACTAGCACGTTATTAGGAAAGGCGGTTTGCAAAGATTCATAAAAGAACCTTATACTCACTTCTTCTGTAGGTGAGGCTGGATCACGAATGATTCGCGCGAACATAAACGCATTTAGGTAGATCGGGGATCGGTGCATTCCCTTCAAAAACAAAGGTAATCCACTGCTCCGATGTCGGGAGTAAATGACGACTGCTATGTTCATTATTACATCCAACAACAGAACACCTCAATCACTTATGAGCCAATCTTGTCTACATCTGCTCCGGCGTCGAAACAATGGCGGATTGATGACAGCTCACTCAGGGCGGGTCTAAGGTAAAACGCTAGTGTCAATCAACAATCATCGGAGGGGCCTGGGTCTGTGTGATGTCACACAGACAGGCATCTGAGAATGGCTTGATATGAGAAAGGGGAAATGATTTAACGAGATTAAAAACAAATACTGGGTGGATCGTTATCATTATAGGGTGGTAGTGTACACACACTGCCAACACACATTTCAGTTCAAACTACTTGTAAAAGTGCATGTCGCATCCGATGACCCCTTAAAATGAAATTATATTAGTAATTAAACTGATAACCAAACTCCAAACTCCTTTTGTTTTAGGTTGTGGTTGACCAGTCAGCCATCTGACAAGTTTCCAGTGAGTGTTTTGCAGAATGGGGTGAAGATGACGAACGAGCCTCCCAAAGGACTGAGGGCAAATTTACTGCGTTCTTACCTCAGCGACCCCATCTCAGACACTGCCTTCTTCAGCAGCTCCGCTAAGCAGGACATCTGGCAGAAGCTGCTGTTCGGCCTTTGTTTCTTCCACGCTCTGGTCCAGGAGAGGAGAACATTCGGCCCACTCGGTCAGATATGAATCTGTAATGCAGTTTGCTTTCCTGTCTGTCATCCTTCATTTGATTCACCATCCATCTCTAAACAATCTTCTGTGAAACTCTGGCATACTATCGTCAATCTAACTGATCTAATCTTTTCTAAACAGACATTATAGTACTGCAATCAAATGGCAGTTTAATAGGCTGAGGCAGTTATAAGTTCATAGATTGATTCTCCTGAAAACTATAAACAGTATTATAAAAGCAATCTTGTTAGTGGTGCTTGCGAAGCTGGATTTTTATTATTTTTCTTCAATACAAACTTTGGTGCGTAACTCATCCCGTACCATTTGTCATAGACCCATGAAAGAGGCATCAAATCATGCAGCTTATTGAGGTGAGGTGTGGTATGACTTTTCTACGTGATCAGGGATACGATGTTCGCACAGTGGGCGAAAAATCAGGGGAAAAATCCCATAGACTTAATATTGTGACCAAATTTGATGGCCTGTAGCTCTGAGCGAGAATTTCTTAGAAACGTGTGGGTCACCACATTTGAAGAGGCTGGCAAGCTGTGTGAGGACATACCCCGCGATGGGGTATGAGTTGTACCCCTTGGGCACAACAGCCAGCCGAAATCGCCCCTTAAACATACTATAGTAAGGAACTGAGCACATGCGTTTTTCCTACTTTGGTAACTTCCACAGGAATTTTGCATTGAACATAACTCACAGTGTCAAAGAGACATGGGGCTGGGCTGATTTTACTCAGACAATCAGTCAGTCTCTCATGATCATCATGAAGCTATCAAGCCATGCCCTAGCAACCATTTAGAACACTCTTGCAACCATCTTCCCGTACCCATGCAAGGGAGGGAAGTGCTGGTGAAACACCTAAATCTGTTATCAAAGAACCTGGGGTTACGTTAAGTAACCCATTGTTCTTTTTCTAACTTCGCTCGGTGTTTCACTATGGGAGATATAGACCACTCCCGGATTGCACCCATATCACTGCTATCCAACAAAACAATTAAATGGGCACCGACCTGCCGGTTCCCAGCACTGCGTGTGCTAAGGATGGCTCAGACACGTCCAGTCTATAAAACCGCACAAAAGTATGTGGCGTAGCCCAACTTGCTGCTGAACAAATATCTTGAACAGATGTAGCCATCCCCCGAGTGGAGTGGGCTCTCAAGCCCTTCGGCGGTTGAATACCTTTGCAGATATAAGCTAAAGATATAGCCTCTATGATCCAATGAGACAGCCGTTGACGAGACAACGGCTTCCCTTTGTGAGGAGTAGCCCAAGACACAAACAGCTGGTCATGAGTCCTAAAGCCTGCTGTTCTCCTCACATACATATGAAGAGCCCATACTGTACATAATGAATTCAAATTTTGCTTCTCCGGAGAAGAGAACGGATGAGGGTGAAAAGCTGCAAGTTCAGTAGATGGGCACCAATATGCTGAGTCAACTACCTTAGGCACAAAAGCTGGGTTAGGATGAAAGGAAACCTTAGTGAGTCCTGGAGCTAACTGCAAACATGACGGGCTAACAGACAACGCCTTTAAGTGACTCACACGCCTAGCTGTTGCTAAGGCTATGAGCAGCACCATCTTAAAAGAGAGAAACTTAAGCCCAACTCCCTCCAATGGCTCAAAAAGGTATTGAGAAAGGGCTTCTAGGACGATGGATAAATCCCATAAAATCAAAGGGGGAAAATCACCCGAATAATCAAAGGGTGCTGGCCTGCCGATTTCTCGCCAAAACCTACATGACAAGCTGAAATAGCTGCTAAATACACCTTAACGGTGGAGAAAGCCTTCCCCTTATCTGGAAGATCTTGAAGAAAGCATAAAATATCCCTCACTGAGCATTGAAAAGGGACAATATGACCCTGCTCACACCATTCTTCAAAGACTCGCCACTTATTGCTATAAAGTGAGCGAGTAGAGGAGGCTCTTGCACTCTGTATAGTAGGGCTGTCAAAAAAAAATAGAATTTCGAATATTCGTCGAATTAAAAAAAAAAATCCACATTCGAATGCAAAAACGTTGCATTCGAATTTAAGGTCTGCGTCAGCCGTCAGGCAGCCTTATCAGTGGCGCAGGAGATGCGATGACGATGTATGTGTCATTGATTGCATTTGAATGCTTTTGTTAGCCTATCCAGTTGAACCCACTAGATGCGGTGCTGCTACGTTGTATAAACATTATTTTAAACATTATGCACTTTTTTTCAAAGATAGTCCCGTTATTTTATTACGCTTTGAAGAAACGTGCATAATATTTTGCTCGATGCGCCCTCTTGTGGCCTCAGAAGAGAAGCCGAAAGCTTTTTTTTGAAAAAAGCTTTTTTTTTTTTGACTGAAATTATGCCTTTTAAATTCGAATAGAATTCTAATTTTGATAATATTTAAGTAAAAAATTCGAATTTAGTTTTTCAGTCATTTTTACAGCCCTACTGTATAGTATGTATGACTGATGGAGGCAGACCTGCAGCATTCAAATTCCACCTCTTACGGGCCAAGCCCATCTGGGTGAGGGTGGTAAATCCCTCCCCCCGCCTGAGACAGGAGATCCAGGGGCCACGGCTGGCCTGACAGCAGTTGAACTATCTCAGCCACACAATGTCTGGATAGAGCTATCAGAATTAATGACAGACCCTGTTCCCTCACTCTGGCTAGAGTGGGGGAAAGTAAGCTCAGGGGAGGGAATGCATAAAGAAGGACGTCTGGCCATGGGTGGGCTAGAGCATCCACATCCAGTGGTGCATTTTCGTCCGCTAGAGAGAAATACAGAGGACATTGAGCGTTTTCTTGCGAGGCGAAGAGATCTACGGCCGCCTGACCGTACCTCTGCCATATCTGGTTCACCACCTGGGAATGGAGTTTCCACTCCCCATACAGGGGGTTTCCTCTGTACAGTAGATCTGCCCCTCTGTTTAAAATCCCTGGAACGTGAGTTGCCCTGAGGGATAAAAGCCTTGTGTCGCTCCACATGATCAGCCTCTTTGCCAACTGATGCAGTTGAAGGGAACGCGCCCCTGTCGATTGATGTAAGCAACCACTGTGGAATTGTCTGTTTTCACTAACACATGCTGCCCTTTGATGAAGCTCAGAAAATGTTTCAGCGCTAACCATACTGCTAGCAGCTCTAAATAATTTATATGTTTGTGAGTCAGCTGCGGAGGCAACACGCCGTTCACAGCTCTGCCCATTAGAGTCGCTCCCCAGCCCTTTAAGGACACGTCTGTCGTCATAGTGACTCTCGATGACACCGCCCCCAAGGGAATCCCCGTTCTGAGAATCGCGGGAATTTTCCAATTCCTGAGCGCTCTGACGCACGCATGAGTAATTCTCACCGGCTGGCTGAGATGCCGCCGAGAGCACAGATGTACCGGCACGATCCAGTGCTAAAAATCCCTCATTTTGAACAGCCCCAAATGTACTACAGAAATCACCGAAGCCATTAGACCCAGCATTCGTAAGCAGTCTGTACGGAACCACTTTCCCCATCTGAAAGCGGGAGATACATTGTGTGAAAGACGCAATTCTCCCCTCTGTCAGTGTGACTCGATAAGAGAGGGAGTCTATGCTGAGCCCCAGATATTCTGCGCTTCTCATCTCTTTGAATTTTGTGTCTCTGGAACATATCGCCCTTGGCTGCTTGCCTGGCTGTGATAGTGCAACATTTATTAATGTGTTTTCTGAATTCAGGGAGCATATTGCCCTCAGCCCGTGGCTTGGATGCGATGATGCATTCTTTATTTTCAATTCCCCCAAACTGAAAAGTGTTTGAAAACACCGTGTGAGTGCTAGGTGACACTGTTGAACATGACTCTGAGCTCCCTCATCTCTCTGACTTTGAGGAGAGCTTACCGAACGGGCCCTTACTGAACTCAGTACAAGAGGGCTGTATTCCCACCTTCTCCTCTTGGGCTGTATTCCCACCTTCTCCTCTTTGCGGGCGGAGATAGAAGGGTCGGGGAATACCTGTGTGTCAGGTCGCACGCTTCTTCCTCTCCTCGGGGTGGGACGGATGGTTTTTAGCCACCACAGCCACAAAAGACTGCTTTCCCCATGGCCCAGAGCCATTCGGTCGTGAGCGTTGGCCAGCTTGCTGCCCGTTGTGAGCAGGTCTTTGAGCCCTAGCGCCTACTGGTCTCCCTCTCACTGCGGCGGCTGCTGCGAAGCCCTGTCGTGGCGGTTGAGAGGGTGGTCGAGACGCTTGCTTACGCGGCAAGCAGAGGTTAAATGCTTAATCCTCCTGTTTCCTGAGGGTGCTGGCTTCCCTCATTTTCTCGAGGGCTGGGCCAAACAGCCCCTTAGTAGTATCGTATGCATTACCTCTGACTTCTGCGTGTCGCCCAAGCCTGACGGGTTTAGCCATAACGCTCTCTCACCTGACACAGCCAAGCCCATCACACGGCCACAGCCTTGAACCGCGCCGCGGGAAGAGTGCAGAATCAGATCGTTCACCACGCAAATTTAGTCCCAGAGTGCCTGGTTCGGCACCCCTGAGTCCAGCTGCAGCCCCATCTCCTCCAAAATCTCCGATTGATACGCTGACAGTAAAGTCACCACGTTCAGCGAGCACACGGACTGCTCCGCGTATTTATACATCCTCTGATATATCGACGTGGTCAGCCGCTCCATTTTACTCGGCAGTGAAATCTGAGAGGAGGCAGAAATAGAGCGCCGATTCAGATGGAGGTGATAGGCCACTAAAGACTCTACCGCTGGGGGTCCGGCCAACCCCAGCTCCCCCATCCCTTGAATTTCCAACATGGAACACCCCTTGGTAGGGAGCTTGCTCTTAAAGGGGCTGACCAGTAGCGGGACATTTCCTTCATGCAAGCAGGCACAGGCAGGCAGGAGTTGTCTCACTGCAGGCTGAGCAGGAGCACCTTTTTCCATCATAAAATGGTGAAACTCGCTGATCAGATCACAGAGACAGAACAACAACACCAAGACTCTGTTTTAATCATTCTCGGGGACTTTAATAAAGCAAATCTCTCCCGTGAACTGCCAAAATACAGACAGCACATCACATGTCCCACCAGAGACAGTAATATATTGGATCACTGTTACACCACAATAAAGAATGCATATCACTCTGTCCCACGAGCAGCTTTGGGGCTCTCTGATCAATGTTTAGTTCGTCTTATACCGACCTACAGGCAGAAACTGAAATCAGCTAAACCCGTATTAAGAACCGTAAAAAGAACGGCAATGACGCACAGTGAGCGCATGTTTGTGGATCCGCCAGCGACGTTTGAGCGTGCTTCGGACCCATACACACAATGCACACGGGGTGAGGGTCCCTGCCCGAGATGGTAGCTCCACATGAGGATGGACATGGGCGGGATGCAACCTCCCTGATCTTCGACTCATTCCCTTTGGCGGTGGTGATGGCCGTCGACATAATGGCTGAGAAGTAATGCAACCCACAGACTCGCCACAACACGTTAGCCTGCTGGTCTAAGGTAATTAAACCTTCTAAAGGCTCGCCTTGACGCGTTAAACCTCTAGTTGACATAATGTCACCTACCGCAGTAATTTAATACGCAGTAGGCGAATTAGAATAGCTCGCCTTGATGCGTACACTATTCTAATTGTTAGGATATTACTCAACACAATCCCGTCCAACTAACCTCGCGTTCGGTGATGGAGTCCAATGACGGCCCGTCTGTTGAACAGTTTAGCGAAATCAGCAAAGTCAGGATGTGCTGAGAGAGCTTGCTACAGTCTCCCACGGATAGAAAGCGCGAATGACTTTGGCAGGGGTCGACCTGACTGATATACAGTGGGTACGGAAAGTATTCAGACCCCCTTCAATTTTTCACTCTTTGTTATATTGCAGCCATTTGCGGAGCCTGGTCACAGGTTGACCTGTCTGCCAAAGACAGACGTGGTGTCATAGGAGCTTCCGCAGTTGGTCACGCCCAAAACGATTCTCATAGTGAAACACCGAGCGAAGTTAGAAAAAGAACCCAGAGGCATATCTTCAAATCCGAATGTCATAAGAGGCAGGGGGGTTGGTTTGTATAATTCATACTGGCCAGCAGCCTTTGGAATATCGCCATTGCCAGCTGACAAGCCACTCCCTAACAATCAAACGGAACACATTAGCAACCATTTAGCAAGACCTATATCTCTGTATCAGAACATCTTATAGACATGGGACTTGGTTCTTTTGACTCGTTCTAGCAAACAGTACTTCCAAAATGCTACAGTGCTAGCAGTGAATAACTACTTGCTAATAGCGATGAACAAAGTGTTAAAATGTGCTAAAATCACAGATAATTTTTAAAACATTATAAAATAGACCCTAGTAACTGCACAGTGCCGAGTTTTGCCACGGTAAGCACCACTCACATCTTTCTCAGCAAACGTATGTATCTATTCTAATATAACTAATTTTTATTTATTTATACTGATGATCTGGGAATTATTAGGACGATTAATCATCAATGTATATGGGAGCCAAGTTTCTGAATTAAAAAAAAAAAAAATTATATTAAGACTCATAATCAATACTGGAATTTCCTGTCCGAGATGACTTTTGTCTTCTCCAGGGGTTTTTATTGTGACATCAAAGTTGTGTTCATTCTTCTTTCTTTGTCTCTGTCTCTCTGCAGGTTGGAATATTCCATATGAGTTTAATGAGTCTGACCTGAGAATCAGCATTCGTCAGATCCAGATGTTCCTGGATGAGTATGAGGAGGTTCCGCTAGAGGCCCTCACTTACCTGACAGGTGATTAAGCAGGCAGCCACTCAGGACACCCTAACAACCACCTAACTATGCCCAAGAAACCACCCAGAATGCTCTAGAAACCACATAGCAATGTCCTAAAAGCCACTCTCTCCTCAATAACTGCATAGCAACCACATAGTATAAAAATCTTTCTTTTAACAGTTTGTTTAGACAAGAGTCATTTTTTCAACCCTACTGTACTCATGTTATCTGTAGGAGAGTGTAATTATGGTGGGAGGGTGACAGATGATAAGGACCGGAGACTGCTGATGTCCCTCCTCTCCATCTTCTACAGCTGGGAGCTCATTGAACAGGACCAGTATTTTGTGTGTGAGGGAGATCTGTACTATGTGCCATCACACGGTCCATACCAGGTACACACAAACACTGTGTACTCATATTTATCAATTAAAAGAGAAACATTTGACATTGATGAACTACATGGATTCTACTGATGTTAAAATTGATAGTTCACCTAAAAATTACAATTCTGTCATGTACTCACCCTCATGTTGTTCAGAATCTGTATGATTTGTGACCTCTTTCTTCTGTGAAGATGTTTAGTGGGATTTTTAAGCGGTTCTTAGACAGTGACTGGCCAAAAAGTGCCATAAACGTATCATAAAAGTAGTCTCTTGCTACTAAAAGTTTCGTGAAGTCAGTTGATTCCATGTATGTATGCATGCATTTGTGTGGTTTCTTTTAATTATTTATGTATTTTCTTTCATTCATTCATATTATGTATGCATTTATTTACGCATTTTTTCATTCATTTCATTTTATATATTTTTAATGAGTTTATGCATTTAATTTACTGACAATAAGCTTTAACTGGTAAGGGCAACATAAATTGTGCATTTTACAGATTGAATCAATTGTTTATCAGGTTTTGTTTTAAATTTATGCACAAAACAGACCCAAATTTCATTGTTATTCACTGAAAATCTTGCTCTCCGATGATCTCTTTTGTATGTAGAGTTACGTGGACTACATCCGCAACCTTCCCATCACTGCTGAACCTGAGGTCTTTGGCCTCCACAGCAACGCTAACATCACCAAAGACAACCAGGAGACCAATCAGCTGTTAGATGGAGTGCTGCTGACTCTGCCGAGACAAACTAGCGGCGGAGCCAAATCACCACAGGTGGGAGGATGCAAATCATAAATGATAAATGATTGGCAGTTTTGTGTACCTGGTCTTTCTGACAGTAGGTTTGTCTGTGTCCACAGGAAATAGTGGACGAGCTGGCCGGGGGAATGCTGGCCAAACTCCCTCCTGATTTTGACATTGAGATGGTGACCAATAAATACCCACTCCTGTATGAGGAGTCGATGAACACCGTCTTACGGCAGGAACTTATTCGCTTCAACAGGTACTAGATTTATTCGTTACCTACATCAATTTGCATATAATACATCATAATGTTCTTGTAGCTCAAACAGTAGAGCTTGCAATGCCAAGGTCATGGGTTCAATTCCCAGGAATGCATGAACTGATAACATTTATACGTTTAATACAATACAAGTTGATTGGATAAAAGCATCTGCCAACATAAATGTACAGGCTGTCAAAGGTGGTCCGTAGCAGCCTGATAAACACCCAGAAGGCACTTCGGGGGCAGGTTGTGATGTCAGCCGAGCTGGAGAATGTCTTCAACAGTCTTCTCGTTGGGAAAGTGCCAGCCATGTGGGCCGCAAAGTCCTACCCTTCCCTCAAACCCCTCGGAAGCTATGTGTCCGACTTTCTCGCCAGACTGCAGTTCCTACAGGTGAACACTAGTGGTTACGGCTAAGACAAATGCACACAACAAGAGAGAGGCTCATGGTCCTTTAATGTTTGTAAAAAAACAAAACAAAACAAAACCTTAAATCGTTACCACCTGATGCACCTAGTTTCAGGGTAAATACAGTCAAATGAGATGCTATTATAATTTTATTCATATTTTGAATTAGTTTTTATTATTGTATTTTCCATTTTTAATTTTAGTTCACGTTTTAGTAATTTTGTTGTGTTTTTGCCATTTTTATTAGCTTTTGTCTATATAGTTTTTATTCGTTTTTAATTATAATTTTTATGTATTGTAGTACATTTAGTTAAACTAAATGAATATGAGAAATGTTGCCTTGCCAGCTAGCTAAAATTAAATGAGTTTTGAAATATTTTTAGTTAATTTTTAGTAACAAAAATGTTTTTTTTTAAACCGTTTTAGTTTCAGTTAATTATACCCTGCCTAGATTGCAATTAATGTCATTATCAACATGAAAGAACACTGTCTTTTTAAATATGTGTAGGGCGAAACACTTCTGTGTGCACTATGCTGAAATAGGACACTTGGTCGGCACTGATCACTGTGTGCACTGATATTATTAAAACCAGTTGTCCACTACCTAGGACAGTTTTGCAATACGAACCAAGAATTTTCACATTTTTAAGCCATCTTTTTGTGTGTGTGTTTTAGGACTGGATTGATAATGGCCCTCCATCTGTGTTCTGGATATCTGCGTTTTATTTCACTCAGTCATTCCTCACTGGTGTGTCTCAGAATTTCGCTCGCAAGTACACCATCCCCATTGACTACATCGGCTTTGAGTTTGAGGTCTGTGTGCCAATGAGAGCATACAGAAACTGATTCATTTTAAATGTTAATGCTCACCAAGGCTGCATTTATTTGACCAAAGATACAGTAAAAACAGTAATATTGTGAAATGTATAAATAACTGTTTTCTATTACAATATACTTTAAAATAGAATTTATTTCTGTGATGCGCAGCTGAATTTTCAGCATCATTACTCCAGTCTTCAGTGTCACATGATCTTCAGAAATCATTCTAATATGCTGATTTGCTGCTCAAGAAACATTTCTGATTGTTATCATTGTTGAAAACAGTTGTGCTGCTTTTGTGGAAACTGTGATACATTTCATTTTTCAGGATTCTTTGATGAATAGAATGTTCAAAAGAACAGCATTTATGTGAAATAGAAATCTTTTGTAACATTATGTCTTTACTGTCACTTCAGATCAATTTAATGCATCCTTGCTTAATAAAAATATTCATTTCTTTTAAAAACAGCCATTATGTATATAATAATGTGCATCTCTTTTAGGTCTGTAAACAGGAAACTCACATGGAGCAGAAGCCGGAGGATGGTGCGTACGTCCGTGGGTTTTTCCTCGAGGGAGCGCGCTGGGATCGAGAGCACATGGTTATCGGTGAGTCTGTTCCTAAAGTCCTCTTCGACACGCTGCCCATAATCTGGCTGAAGCCCGGAGAGAGCACCAGCTTCCTGCACGAGAGCGTTTACGTCTGCCCCGTGTACAAGACCAGCGCCAGGCGTGGGACTCTCTCCACCACTGGTCACTCCACAAACTACGTGCTGTCCATTGAGCTGCCCTCGGACAAGCCACAGAAACACTGGATCAACCGCGGCGTCGCCTGCCTCTGCCAACTAGACAACTGAGCATATCAGAGTTTGCATTTATGTGTTTACATTTTAACACGCCAAAAACTGATAATACAAGACTACAGTACTATCGTTAAGTTTAATACAATTGAATAGAATAATAAAACAACGATGCATGTTAACATAACTTCGATGCCACTTAAATGTGCAGAGACAAACCATTTGAGGGTGTAAATTCAACATACAAAATAATAAACTTTAATTGAAATACAGCTAGATACTTTAAATGCAACATTAAATGAGCCCTTTATACAATGCAGTATATGACAAATATAATAAACAAAACAGCTCACATTAAAGGGATAGTTCACCCAAAAATGAAATTTCTTTCAACATTTATTTGCCCTCATGTTGTTCCAAACCTTTCATCTGCAGAAGATGATATTTTGAAGAACATACCACTACTGACTTCCATACTATTTTTTTCCATTCAAGACAGAAACCCATACAGGTTTGGAAAAACATGAGGGCGAGTAAACGATAGAATTTTTGGGTGAACTATCCCTAATATTACATTCATCATGCTTTGCACTGGTAGTGAGAATAACTTCACTATGATCCGTTTCATAATGCTGTCATTTTAGCTAGAAATAACATGAACAGACAAGAATTTATAATGTTCCAGGGTGCTTCTGAGCACTTTCAAATCAGCACAGTCTGTGTGTGTCAGGTCTCATCGTGAGACAGCAGGTATACCGGCTTGGCTTGTTTCCTCAGTCTCTGCTGAGCTCGCAGCTTTCTGCCTTTCTGAGTGGCCAGACCCATCGGAGGAAGATAAGTCTGACAGAGAAGATATATACGACATATTTCTGTGTGAAACTCACGGGAACGACAAAGAACATGTCCTGTATCAAGTCAGATTTCACCCCAAACTCAAAAGAACAGACAACAAAGCCTTTTTAGGATCATTAAGACTTTCTGAATGAACTATTACTTTCATTAAAGTTAAAAACACATCTGTGGAAGCTTGTTTCTTGCGCAGAAAAAAGGTAATTGCAAACTGTGAATTTAACTATTCAGAATTTTTTCTCACAATTGAGTTTATATCTTACAATTTTGACTTTTATTTCTGAATTCTACGTTTACATCTCGCAATTCGGTTTTCTTTGTTTCCACCGTGGATTAAAAATGTAAAAAGGTAATTGCAACTTTTTATCTGACAATTCAGATTTTTCTCTCAATTCCGTCTTTTTGTTTTCAGAATTCTGAGTTTATATCTCAATTCTGAGCAATTTGTGAGAAATGTGACGGACATTTCTTCATGAGATCATATTATATTTACAAATATAGTAATATTATTATTACTGCTTATGATAATATGCAGAGATATTACTTACTGGTCTAGGATAGGGGTTCCTATAATGCAGTCCTGACATGAAAAACATAAAACAACCACTTTTAGCTGCTCACCTGCTATTTGATAACACCAAACATCTAAAAAATGATGAATGAAAAAGGACAATAATTAAATTGCAGTAACTATTTGATGTAGGATGCACACCTATCTCTATCCGAGCTTCACACTCTTCAGTGCATCTCTTGATTGATTCTGGGTCTGTTATCTGTAACAGAGAGAAGTTATGGGAGAACGGGACAGATGTGAGACCTATAGCAGCTCATCCGCTGATCTGAAGTCAGTGCACACCTGCTGGTTCTGTCTGAAGAGGGTTCGAGCCTCCTGAGCGATATATTTCCTCTCGTTGTCAGTGTCGTGTGGAAGAGCAGATTGCGCTGTCCAGCTGCGTGCGATGCGCAGGACCCTCCTGTAGAGAGACAGCACATCTGAACGAGACATCCTGACCACCTGTGAACACCAAACACAGTACAGCAAATCTATGAATTTGACATTCTATAATGACAGTATGCATCGTTTCACCTTTGATCAGCTCTCTAGGATTCCAAAAAGAATTTGAGATTTTCGGGTTCGAGCCTCCTGAGCGATATATTTCCTCTCGGTGTCAGTGTCGTGTGGAAGAGCAGACTGCGCTGTCCAGCTGCGTGCGATGCGCAGGACCCTCCTGTAGAGAGACAGCACATCTGAACGAGACATCTGACCACCTGTGAACACCAAACACAGTACAGCAAATCTATGAATTTGACATTCTATAATGACAGTATGCATCGTTTCACCTTTGATCAGCTCTCTAGGATTCCAAAAAGAATTTGAGATTTTCCTTACATTCATGTTTACCCTTGCTCATAATTATTCAGATGGAAAATGCATTAAATGAAATTAGAAAAGAATGCAAAACAAAATATATATACACTGAATAATAATATTTTTTTTTTCAACAGTTATGCAGCTTGAATTAACAATTAAGTATCTGTTTTGTATATACAGAATTATATACTACATGATTACTTCAACAATTGCGTGTGATAATTGGCAATGTAAAATAATGAATATATGATCTTTATTAATAAATTATGCAGCATGATTAACAAAAAATTATGAATATATATAATTAATATATATATTATAGTAATAAAGTGTAAATTCATATACATTAATAGAGAGAGAGAGAGAGAGAGAAAGAAAATGAATTAACAATTATGCAGCATAATACATAAATAACATTATTTTAAATCGCTTATTACTTTCCTGTATAATTATGTTGAAATAATCATTATTATTCAGTATAAAATATTCATACACATACAAAAAAATGTGATACAAACAGAAATCTGCAGAACTGCGTGTGTGTGACAGATCTTGCGTGACCTCTGTTACTGTTAGGTAAACTAGATACATGTCAATAAGCTTTGCAGTATATCTGACATACATTATAGTTATTACAGTCTTTTCGCTTTATTCAGTAGGAATCTAGCTGCTCGTCAGCCCTACTTCCTGATTAAATACATATTACCTCTGCGTGATTAGATCAATACAGCTTATGTGAGCATCTCCGCGCTTCCGCACTCCAGCGTCCACGTGCTCACGAGCGATGACGTCTCGAACTAGTCCTTAACGCTCTCACGTTGCGCAGTCAGAGATCCGCGGGGTGTTTGGGGGAGCTATTTCTGCGCGGCTTTCGCGCAGACCTTCTCGAACCCAAACAAAAAGAGAAACTGCGATCAATCAGCGGCTGATCCGCGTCTCTGTGGTTCCGTGCGGCCGCATCGAGTCCATCACGATCCTCTCAGACCCCAATCAGCGATCCAGAGGAGTGTGGGAGCTGCTAAAGGCGGAGGTTTTACCGGAACCGGCTTGGATCAGCGCAGGTTCGGTTCGGGTCGGGTCTGTGGGAAGGGATGCGGGGGAACTTTCAACTATGATCATCTATTGACCCAAAGAGCATCTGAAGCACACAAAGAGAAGCTCTTCTCCTGCGTATACACAGAGATTCAGAACCGACCCGGTTCGGCTGGAGGCTGGGATTAGCTTTAGCTTTAGCATGACCGCAGGGATGCGCTGATTCCGATGCATTTCATCATCTTTCCACAGGTAAATCAACACAAAACGCCTTCACTTCACATCTCTGCTGCCTTTCTGACCACAATCTACACATTTTAGAGTTTAAATGAAGTTTGGTGTGTATAAATGAACCAGCCCCATCTGAAGCTAACCAGCTAAGCTGCTAACATGAGATCAGCTCTTTAAAAAGACTTTTAACTGTCACATTCATTGTTTCGGTACTCAAATAGTCACATATTAATATATCAGACCTATCAGTATGATTCTAGAGCTCATTTATTTAGGATAGTTGGTGTTTTTGCTATATAGACGGACAGTTAATCGTAATTTAAAGCAAAAGTTTCTCATTTATACTGATAGAGACTCTTGGCTGTGCCTCAAATCTAGTGAGTTGCTTACATAGACAGCATTATCGGAATCAAATATCGCCTATGATGCCTAAAAATGCTGCATATATATAAAATAAATGGCCTAATAATGGGGTATGTGTAATTTAGATGCTCAAAAGGCTGCATTTGCCTGTGATGCCCTAAAATGCTGACTAGATAGACAGCATGTGTGTAAGCATCTATTTCATAAATAATAGTCCATATCAAGTTAACTGTTAGTACATAACTGACTATATAATCATGTCGATTATATTCAAATAATTTATTTATAAATGACATTTCATATAATGGAACTGTCAGGAGTTGATATTAAACATGAGTTATTCTCACTAACAATGAAGTACCATGGTATTGCCGTGTTTTACAGTGGTTTAACCATGGTATTGCCGTGTTTTACAGTGGTTTAACCATGGTATTGCCGTGTTTTACAGTGGTTTAACCATGGTATTGCCGTGTTTTACAGTGGTTTAACCATGGTATTGCCGTGTTTTACAGTGGTTTAACCATGGTATTGCCGTGTTTTACAGTGGTTTAACCATGGTATTGCCGTGTTTTACAGTGGTTTAACCATGGTATTGCCGTGTTTTACAGTGGTTTAACCATGGTATTACCGTGTTTTACAGTGGTTTAACCATGGTATTCTTTGAAGTACCTTAGGTCAGAGGTTTTCAAACTGGGCTCTGGGGGCTGTGCTGGTGGATCTGTGCAAAAGTTAAGAGAAAACCTGTGTAAAAAATTATATATTTTTTACATTTATAAATGTAATTGAAGTAGTGTCATTTTTAACTAAATAAATAACAAAAATAAGATTTAAATTAAAGATTAAATTACAATTAAATGAAAAAGAATCAATTATAAACCAATAAAAATGTTGATTGACATAATCACGTTAGATTGAAATCAATAAACATTAGATTAAAATAAAAAATAAATGAATAAATAATTAAAATATATAAGATTAAAATATATAAATAAAAATTAGATTAAAATATTTAATAAATGAGTAAATACAATTTTACAGTAGCATAATAAATGGTTATAATAAATAATATAAGTAGGGGGAAAAAAACACAAAATATTGCTAGAAACTAGGTATTTTCCAAATAATATTTTAAACATTTATAATATTTTTTTCATAGTGTAAATTGCAGAATAATGATATTTGGGGGCCCATTGCATCAAAAGAAAACTGAAAACCTCTGCTTTAAGGTATCTGACTGTGGTATTAGTATTTTTTGGATAGGTTATTGATATTAGGGCTGCACGATTATGACAAATCATAATAGTCGATTATTCCCTTGAAATTGTAATTGCGATTATTAATTATGATTATCACAATTTACATTGAATGATGTTTATACCATTGTTTGATGCAACTGCATGCCGTATTTTTATATGAAAATAAACAAGCTGAAAACAATCTATCTGAAAAACCTTTAGTGCTTTTCTATAGTATTAAGCCTCAAATGTCAAATATACATCGGATTGGTTTCTTCTTTAAATTATAAAAAAGTAAAAATATGAATGGT